ACAATATGCGTTTTTGCTGGCTGTAGCGCTGCACAGCAAAAACCATAAAAAGCTAATTTTTCAGGAGTATCCTTTTCACTCTTCTTCAAAACAGTCTTTTCAAAAATGGAAGGGTCCTGGATACGCTGCCGCATCATTCATGATTTATACGGTGGAAAGCATCAGTTTTTGCCATAGTCAGATGCAGCCATAGCTTGGTCTAATATCTTGATCATCTTATGTCAAGCAGTCAACCAACTTGTTTGTATGTACCCTCGAAAGAGGATGTCCTCGACAACCCTACCAGTGGATAGTTGCTGTTGGCAGATCCTATCGCTCAGGCTGCTTTCCAGGTGCATCAGCAGTCTTTCGTAGAGTCTGAATATGAAGGGAGTTTTGACTTTTGAACATTTTGATATCATTGCTATGGCTCATTTAAAATTATGTTTTTCACAGATTTTTGGTCTGCGCTTTTTATGTAGTTCATAGTTTTTGATACGTTCACAGTTACATGTAGTACTTTGGCCGAGAATCCCGGTTTTCTTATTCTATAACAGAAAGGAATGGGCGACTTGATGCCGCTCAGGAGTTTTCTCGGTAACGCTAGGATACTCGAATATCAGCGAAATTTCGAACTGCTAATGAACGAATCGTTCCGGGACATCTTCGTCAAGTTGTACAGCACTCAGATATACTATCCGATCATTGATGCATGCTACAACGAAATTTTCTACAAACATTACCGCGCTCATAAAGCTGTTTATAAATGTCCAGGTCAAACTTTTTACTTCTGTCTTGGTTTGAATAAGCTTTCAAATGACCGATGAAGAACAAAAATCCTAGACAAGTTTTCTACAACAGACAAGAGCTCGTTATAGAAATTTGTTCATTCATTTCGATGGCAAATTATTACCGATAAACATGCCTATCGCTGTGATGCTACAATATTCTCTTTTCAGGACCAATTCGTTGTACAATTCCGAGAATTCCCGGGGTGCGCTGCATCAGCTCGCAAATCCACTACAGGCATGTGAGTATGACGTCCAAGATGCGTGTACATTACGCCATTGATATGGATTTTGTTGAAAGTAACAATGGTTGTAGTATGTGATGTTTTATCAGATTATCATTTCTGGTCATTTTTTTTTT